AATGGACCGAAGTCACTTTCAGTGAGCGCTGTCCTGTCCTGACTCATCATCGTAAATTTTCTAGGATAATTTCTTCGCTTACAGTGGGATCCCAGATATTGCAAATCTAAATAATTTGTATTGTTCCCTTCTCCCACGTTGATGAAAAGCCATCCGAATGAGGGGCCTTTCCGTCCGCTTTGAAAGAAATAACATAAATCAGAAATCTCACAGCACTTAGGAGAAGTACGCGACACCAACAATCTCGCTTGGGATCTGTTTAAAATTTCACCTCTATCTTCTGAGTTCTGCGCGTGATTAACCTACAGTAGGTGGGCTAACTCATGAAATATCAACCGAAATTCCGAAATGCGTTTTCCTTTCGAAAAGATTAATTAAGTATGGTTGTAAAAGTAATCATGATGCAGCATAAATCTATAATGATCCAGTTACGTCAGGATTCCGGCTGTCGAATGAACTTCCTTCCGGCTGCATGCAAAAACTACGCTCTGTAAAAAATTACTATTTATGTAGCATGAATTTTCCTCATTGATTTTCGATGCCCCTAAAAGTCCAATTATATTTCATGGAAAGAATGCATAAAATATTCATTCTTTTGTTCATTCGGTAGATAATTACGTCTTCTTCTAATTTTATACTCGAACGTTGGACATAATTCGGTTTTAGAAAAGTTTTCCAATTCCCGAATAATTTTGAACCCGCTCTACCGTCACACTTGAATTCAGGGTCTCCAATCTACAAGTCGTATATTTTTTGCCTACGTAAAACCACACATTTTTCTACGGTAATAAAGGGCGACCATATAGGGTTCATAAAATTATGTAGTGGATTTGATCCATATTGTTAGCTTTACAAGCCATATTGGAAAATGCAGAGATATGACGATTTATGAACGGCCATTTCACGGTATTTAAAAGTCTCAGAATTAGAAACTTTTTTTAAAACCGAATTATATCTCTCCTTCGAGTATAAAATTAGAAGAAGACTAATTGTCTACCGAATGAGCAAAAGGATGAATATTTTTATGCATGTAATTGGACTTTTTGGGGGCATCGAAAATCGAGGAGAAAAATGCATGTTATTTAAATAGTCATTTTTTAAAGAGTTCAGTTTTTAATGCAGCCGGAAGGAAGTTCATTCGACAGCCGGAATCCTGTGGTAACTGAAATATTATAGAATTATGTTGCAGGCTGACTAATTTTACAACCCTGCTTAATTACTCTTTTCGAAAGGAAAACGCATTTCGGAATTTCGGTTGACATTTCCTGAGCTAGCCCACCTACTGTATGTCCCCAAGTTTAAACTACCGAGATTGATATAAGTAAGCCAGGTTGAGGCAGTTAGTCTTGTTTATGAGAAAAGAACTAGTGTGTTGTCTCGTAGTCCATGATTTGTCCTAAGTGACAGTAACGACAGCCCAAACGAGCGCAAAACTTATTCGCGTGCTTGAACGTCATCGGGACAGGATGCAGACGCTAACTAAGAAGAGAATTTGCACTGCGACTGTTCTCGTAATTACATAACCATTATTTACCTATGTCAAAAGCTTGACTTCCAATAGTCCCTTATCCTTTCTATGTTTAAAGGATCGCGTGACGCTGCATCGGGAATTTCATCCATCCCTCCGTCGCCTCTTCGGGCGTTCTCAGTGTCTTATCTCGTCAGAGCCCATCCTATGTGATCTTTCTGTCAACAAGACGGGCTTTGTGCCCGGTGAATCTCTCATGGCGTGCGTCAACGTCAAGA